AGCTCACACTCACCCAGCAGAGGCAGCCGAGTTGGTCAGCATCCCAGCCCAGCTGGGCCACCTATGGCTGGTGGCTGGTCTAATCCAATCTCACTACTCCGTAGCCCTCGGTTGTTCACCGTGGACCCTCTTTTGTTAAAGCACCAGCTTTGCCACGTGCTTTTCAAAGCCTTTAAGACCTCTCAAAGCGCTACCCTGCCCACTTCCTCAAGATTCCATGGAGGCCCCAGGACCCCCGGTGCTGGTCCTTCATCACACCTGGGCAGGCAGGTGATCTGACAGCCCCGGGGCATTCACCGCCCTTCATCCGCCTGACAGCAGTGCTTCTGTTTCCAGCCTCGGTTTTTCTCTGCTGTGGGGCCTTTTGGAAGCCTGCTGTCATCCATCCTCACAACACCCAGGGGGCACAGGCCACTGTCATTCTCCAAGGTCACAGAGGGACTGGCCAAGGTGATGGGAGGTGAGTGACTTGCCCCGAGTCAGCTGGTGGGAGCGTGGACCTGAGGGAAGGTGTTGCCCCGAATCAGACTGAGCATCACTGCTGAGGGCTTCCCTAGTTTCCCTCCTCACCTGGGGCTGGCTCCTTTCTATTCGATACGATCACTTTCTAGCCACCCTTCTTTTTAGCCCTCTTCAATAAGAAAAAGAACAAAACAGCAGCAGATTGGGTGTGAGCCTGTTTCAGCTTTGTTTGTAGTCTTCTTTTTTAAGATCTTTGCTCTGGGCGCTGTAATGGGAGAAGCCCTTACTGCCTTCCATTTGTAACTCTTATTAATTTAAAATCTACGAGCAACGAGAAGCCCAGATCATTATCAATATTCTAACACCCACAGAAAAATTAGTCAGGCCCCTACCAGGCATAAATCCTCTGCTCCAGGAGATATGTGTTGCTGGCAAAGATGGTCCTGATGTAATGGAAGCATTTAATGTAGAAAATGTTGCTCTATATCTCTTCCTGATGGCATCAGACAACCAGGGCAGTGAGGAGGGGGGAGGAGCTGGAGAGGAGGCTGCCCAAGAGAAGCAATATGTGGGCTGAGCTGATCAATAAGAAGATTAACTTAACCAAGTAGAGGACTTATCAATCTTCTTATTGATCAGTTTAGCAAACATATTAGTATGCTGGTGCAGCACTGCCAGGCCGTCTAGGTGGCGTTTCATCAGGTCCAAGGTAGACCAGCTATCCCAGTTTGGCTGGGTGACATCTTACATGTCTCAGTTCGGTTCAGTTCAGTCGNTCCACTGTTTCCCCATCTATTTCCCATGAAGTGATGGGACCTATTCACCACCAAAAGAGGTCACCTCTCCCTCTTGTAGGCAAGATTGTCCCCAGAGAGGGAAGCTGATGGACAAACTGAAGTGGGATTATGTAGACACCCCTTAAATACTGGATTCAAATTCAATCAACAAGTTCCTGCTTGGTAAGCATTTCTGTGACTCTTAATTTTAAGCAAACGAAGCATAAAGTGAGCTTTTATTTACTGAATGCCTAGTGAAAGTTCAAAAAATTATTTTAAGTATTCACACTTGTGATAGTACCAGATGTGATTATTTAATGTTCCTTATATTGACATCTGAGAAATAGATTAATGTTCATCTTCAGAATCAGCATAAACACACATTATTTTACTCTTTTAAAAAAAGCAATGCTTTAAATTATTTGGACAGATGTCACACACTTTATTTTGAATCATGGGTATTATATAACAAAGAAGTTTTGAAGGGATATTTATGTAGCTTAAAAATTCTTATCCATTCATTCAATAAACACTTGCTGTGCATAAAGTCGAAATGAGACCATCTATTCTGCACAGCTGATGGTCATCCCCTCTGAGGGGAGAGGGTGGGCCAAAGTCAGGTGACACCACCTCCTGGGCTGCCATGAGCTTTGCTCTGCACTCATCCACCAGAATAAGGAAACAGTGAGTCTTGAGTTTAGCCACTCACAGTTAAAATATCTGCAGCTTGAGTAATTTTCTTGTAAAAATAAGTTTCCTTTCTAATTCCATAATTGTCTGCCTCATTTCACGTTATCTCATAAAGGATAAATACCTGGCTCAAGATCACTGGCCTCTTATTTCCCTTCAATCCCTTTAGAATGGAAGTTCCACTCCAGAGGGACTTGGATGCCATCGCATCTCACTGTATTATAGACGTGATAAATGAACGGTGCTTCTTGCAGGGGAGACATGCTATGAGGAAGAAAGAAATGCTCTCTGTTTCTCTGAGGAGCTCTCGGTCCCTCTGGAGTTCCTGTGAAAATCCTAGAGAGGAGTCCAGTGCTCGAGGGTGTGGACAGTGATGTCCTGGAGAGAACCCCAGATGGAGACAGGGACAGAAACCTGCTATTATTACATCTTTATCTCCTGTGACCTTATAGGCTTCAGGTGAGAAGATAGGGGACCAGTTACCGGCTAATTCATTAAACAGTATTTATCAAAATCTTCATATTTTGCTAAAAATTGGGGCTGAAAAATGAAAATACATGTTCTGTGCCTTCCCAGAATCCAGAGTCTAGACAGAGAGTAGGTATGAGCTGCTTTGCCCATTTGGGGAAACAGGGGGCTTCTTTGAAGCAGGTTTCTCTGCATGGGTGCCAGGATCATAAAATACCTTGCAACAAGCTGTCCTTATGGGAAACATCACTTCAGTGGTCTCCACTGGCTGTGTGAAAGCAAGGCAGAAATCATCCTTTTTCGGAAGAAATTGAAAAACTGTGTTACTTGTATCTGGTTTAGGGAAATGCACCTCTTGATGGGTTGTACTCTGCAAGAAAGTGGAGTTGGAACAAGAAAGAGGAGGGAAGCTGGCCTTTCAGGACCAGCCCGGGACTTTGATCCTGCCCATGTCTATTTTAGTGTGCATGTTATAGACAGCCACAAAATGCTGTTTGTCTAAACAGAAAAGCAAGACGCAAGATTCCTGTCAATCTGACGTGGTTGATATTTCTCCCAGCAATCTTGATTCCAGCTTGTGATTCATCCAGCCCAGAAATACTGGGTTTTCACAAGGCCTCACAGTCATCTGTATGACACTTAAAATCTTAGGGGCAGTTCGTTTAACAGATTTGCCTTAAATATGTTGGCTGTTATCAATATTTGAATCCTTAAAAGTTTATATATAACTTATAGTTAGAAATATGCTTATGTAGTTGAAAAGCATATGTATATACACACATAGAGTTATGAATCTCTCAGTTTAGAACATACAAGCTTCATGTGATTTTCATGAAAACCATGTCTTGAAGCTTGATCCCTAGATCCCTAGGTCCCAACACTGAGCTGCAGTAAGTATGTAGTTAAAACCTGACACAATTTTCCTGGAGGTCTGTGGAGATTAAAGAGTTTAGTCTTGAGTCCCAGTTTCCCAACGTGATCTGTGCTCTGGTGGATGGAGACATACATGCAGACGGAAGGAAGTGAAACATCTGAGGACTTTGTAGGCATCACAATGGGTCCACTTGCATAGGGAGATTCTATGTAGAACCCACTACATATGATGAGACTCAGATGTCCTCATAGACCTGAGGCCGTGTGTCTTCCTTGTTGGAAGGTCCTTGGAGATGGGTCGACACAGGGTTTGGGGAAGCAAGTGCCCTGAGAAAAGGGTGCCGTAGAGGCCTTTTAGGGTGTCTTTCATGAAACAAAAGTTCTGTCTCCATTTGTAGATTTGACATGTAAGATTCTCATCCCTCTGTTGCCCCATTCTCCTCCTGCCCTCAATCTTTCCCAGCATCAGGGTGACAGAAGATGAGATGTTTGGATGGTATCACTGACTCAATGGACATGAGTTTGAGCAAACTCTTGGAGACAGTGAAAGACAGGGAAGCCTGGCATGCTGTAGTCCACAGGGTCACAAAGAGTCAGACACAGCTTAGCAAATGAACAACAACAACATGTAAAATTAATCCCAAGAAGGACACCCACACATACGAGCTATGAAGGTTTCTGAATTAGGCAGAGCTTTCTAGCAGTTTCCAGGACGGCAGGTCCTGTCTTCCTGTCTTGGAGTAGAGTTGGGTACTTGCCTTTCTCCAGGCAGATTAAGCTTGGGTGGGTTCACTGAAGGGGGTGACCTCTGTGGTTCCTTCTAAAGCTAAAAGTAATCTGATTCTGTTCAATGGTGGGCAGATAAAAGCAAAGTTTCATCCCCAAGCCCCTGTTTACATCGTGGGGAGCCAACAGAGCAGTGGAATCTGTGGCTCGAGAAAGCCAAAGGTTTAGAAGCAGCATCTCCAAAGCCGCTTCTTGCTGAAATGCCTGTACCTGACCGAACCCAGCATCTGTCTCCGGCTGGGGAGGCTTCCGCCCTTCATCCTGACAGCGTGGCTCCCCCAACCTGCAGACGCAGCTTGCGGCTGTCGGCGGCTCTCCTGGGATGGGACGGCATTGAGCACTGAACTTTGCCTGCTCTTTCCCTCTCTTTCCCTTTGGGGTCAGCCTCACACATTTATGGACTCGCTAACTGCATTCAAGAGAGTAGCTTTTGACCAGGGAATGGAGTTTTTTGCTTTGCTCAGAATTAATTGGCCATAAGGGGCTCAGGTCTGTATCCTGGTCTCATTAGCTCCAGGTTTTAGCTAAATGGGCTAACTGACCCATGGCCAGAGCCAGCGTGCCCCCATCCACTGGGCAGAGAAGCGTTGTCCGTAGGCCTCCTGACCAGTAATGTTGATATCATGGTGGCCGGAAATCAGAGGCTGTAGGTCAGGAAAATGTGGTTCCTTCCACTTTGGCACCAGCCTTTGTAGGATGTGCTGGTGGTTCTTAAAAGGGTTGTGTCTGTGTTTACTCTGGCTTCTCACCAGAGGGCTTACTCCAGGTGAGTCTACTGTGACTTCCCAGAAGCCCCTGAGAACGTGGACGTGGGATGCGTGGCCCTGAGGACTGCAGTGACCATCGCCTGCTCCATGCTTACACACCCGAAGCAGGTGAGAGAAAACTGGTGACTTGTGCTTTTCCCCTGGACAGAGAAGAAACGGGAAGATCACAAACACTCACAAGCAGTAAGTATCCAGAGGGACTGTCTCAGCTCCTTGGAGACTCCAGGCTGGTAGGGTGGTGTGCAGGTGTCACCAGGGTGAGCTGGGGGACTGGCCCTGTCGGTGGGGAGCACGGATAAAGGACAGTCCAGGCAGAAACACCTGCTCCGCAGTGCAAGCTGAGGTCCTGGGACCTCAGACTGGATCGGGGCCCTCAGACTCCTCCCAGGGGCGGGGCTTGCTTTTGTTGTAAGTAGGTGATTGGCCACCCTGGAAGGGGCGTGGCCTGGGGCGTCCAATGCTCTGAGTATCCAGCAGATTATAGTCCCAGCATCCCAGGGAGGTGGATGACTCAGTCCTAAAGTGGGGGTCTGGGTGGAGGATCCCAGGACCCACTCCCAGCCTCACTCAGTCCAGAGTTCCCTCCCATGGAGGAGTCCCAGAATCATCCTCTGAAAGACAGTCACCCAATTTCTACTGGAAACTTTCTAGCCTCCTGGGCCACTCAGCATTTTCTCTTTTAGCCTAATTATGGAACTATGAAAGGTGTCTTCCTTTAATCCAGCTAGAATATGTCATTTTATAATTTTCACCTATTACTGATATACAAAAAGAGGAAACAAACAGAAAGTCATCTGTTGGTCGTCTTTCTGTCATAAAATAAGTATATTTCCTCTTTCCATCCAGAGTTCTTTAAATAATTAGAGTTATCATAGTACTTTTCTAACTTTCTTTTATTCTCTCAGCTGAGCAGACACTATGGTGTCCTAGAAGACTCAAAGTGATTACAAACTAAGAAAGAAAAGGTCTTTGAGAAATCTTGGAAATCACTCAGCCCAGGGAAACTTGGGAAGAAGAAAGTGTTGGTTGGGATTGGGCTTCCTCCTGGGAGGAACCTGTTCCTTGGGTATGCTTTGGACCCTAATGACACAGAGGTTGGTGGGGCAGGTAGAGGGGCCTCTTCCCCTAGGCCAGTATGAACAAAGTCCTCTAAAAGGAGGGTCTGGGATGTCCCTTGCCCTCCCCAGGCCGACCACATGAAGCGAGTTCTTCTTAATACAGGAGGAAACAGTCTGGGAGCATCAGTCGTTAAAGGTTTTATTTCCCTAAACAAACAGAAAGTCATCTGTTGGTCGTCTTTCTGTCATAAAATAAGTATATTTCCTCTTTCCATCCAGAGTTCTTTAAATAATTAGAGTTATCATAGTACTTTTCTAACTTTCTTTTATTCTCTCAGCTGAGCAGACACTATGGTGTCCTAGAAGACTCAAAGTGATTACAAACTAAGAAAGAAAAGGTCTTTGAGAAATCTTGGAAATCACTCAGCCCAGGGAAACTTGGGAAGAAGAAAGTGTTGGTTGGGATTGGGCTTCCTCCTGGGAGGAACCTGTTCCTTGGGTATGCTTTGGACCCTAATAACACAGAGGTTGGTGGGGCAGGTAGAGGGGCCTCTTCCTCTAGGACAGTATGAACAAAGTCCTCTAAAAGGAGGGTCTGGGATGTCCCTTGCCCTCCCCAGGCCGACCACATGAAGCGAGTTCTTCTTAATACAGGAGGAAACAGTCTGGGAGCATCAGTCGTTAAAGGTTTTATTTCCCTGGAAAAATAGCATGTAGCTGGTTGATATGACCTCAGTTTCCTCATGTGGGTGATAAGGTGATCCTTTGGGTGCGCACTCACATGAGTAGAGAGCAGCATGAAAGTGACGGTGTCGGTCGCTCAGTCGTCTCTGACTCTTCATGACCCCGTGGAATGTAGCCCGCCAGGCTCCTCTGTCTGTGGAACTCTCCAGGCCAGAATACTGGAGTGGGATGCCATTCCCTTCTCCAGGGAATCTTCCCAACCCAGGGATCAAACCCATGCTTCCTGCCTGAAGGCCGATTCTTTACTGTCTGAGACACCGGGGGAGCCCGGAGAGGAGAATAAGCATATTTAAAAGCAGGCCACTAGTATTAAGTAGAAAAAGAAACAAAGCCTTTCAACAGACCTTATCTAAACTCAGAATTAACATTATTAACCAAAACAAATGGTTTCTGGCTGCTAAATAATAGTTTTACTTTTCAGATGTGTGCTTTTTAACTTTTTAATTGCATTTATTATTTTTAATCTTATTTATTTATTTCAATTTGGAGGCATTCCCCACCCATGCTTCCTTGGTAACTCAGCTGGTAAAGAATCTGCCTACAGTGCAGGAGACCCCGGGTGGGGAAGACCCCCTGGAGAAGGGAATAGTTACCCACTCCAGTATTCTTGCCTGGAGAATTCCATGGCCAGAGGAGCCCGGCAGGCTACAGTCCATGGGGTCGCAAAGAGTCCGACGTGACTGAGCGACTTTCACTTTCACTCCCCCTGTTATGAGAACCTGGATGCCCCATTTTAGTCAACAGGACCTCCTCGCCACCCAGCAACCTAAGGGATGAAAGCTCTGGTATCCAGGCAACATCCGTTTGGCTGGTCAGTGGTCAGTGTATAGGACGGTCCAGTAGTCTGTGAGCTGCTGCCCCAGAAATAGGGGTGCTGGCGGGAGGGAGCTAAGGTGGATGGGGTGGTTGTCAGCTTCTATTACAGAAGAACTGAGTTGGAGTGAAGCAGCCGACAAACAAGTGTTTGCGGTGCATCCATCCAGCGGACCTGGCTGTCGCCAGTGGGGTCTCTGACGAGCTTTTTGCCTCTAAACTTCTACTTTATCACGGATGGAGGGGCATAACTTCACTCCACCCTGTGGCGTATACAACACTTGGCATACAGGAGGCCGAAACAAGTGATCATCAGGAATGCGGGTTTTAGCATCTGTGAACTCCCTCCAAAGAGAGACACACAGCCAGAATGCTTCTCTGTTGTCCCACTATTACTGGAAAACTGTGGCACCGATTCCATAGAAACTTGAAAGAATTGAGAATGTCACAGATAACTTGGAATTGCTGGAGTGACATCAATTAACTTGTTTAACTTAATGAATTATTTTTTATCTATAAACAGAAGATTTTTTGCTTTCTTACAACAGTGCAACTGATAGAGTGACTTATTTGAGTTAGTAGCATTAACAATTAGACTTTTTTTTATAGGAGAAAAACCCAAAGAGTTACAGAAATCCAGTGATCTTTCAAATCAATCTGATTCTCCTAATGATTAGATTTTCCTGCATTTTCCTCTTCTAATTGATCTTTAGCATCAGCCATGAATTCTTTGGTGTAGCAAAAATGTTTTTATGAGTTCCAACTTTATACACTACGGCAATCGATGTGGAAGAGAAAAGGCAACCAGACAAGAAAAGCAATAAATAACAGTCTAAGGAAGGCAGACACATTCAACATTAAATTTTTTTCTGTATTTTTAAATTACATTTTCCACATTTTAATATCAAATTAAATGTATTCAAAGGAAGGCAGGATTCCAGAGTGTCCAGAAGCTCTTAGGTGGGGGCTGAGTTGGGTAGTGAGATATGAAGGAACAGGGAGGCATTTAACTGGCCTTCATTGTTAGGGTGACTGTTATCATGAAGATAAGACAGGATGGCAGAGTAGAAAGACCCTGAACTCACCCCTTCTCACGTCAAAGTCACAACTATTCACAGAACAAGCCTTGATGGAAAAGATCAGAATCTCCCAGAAAGAATCTTATACAACTAAAGATGTAAAGAAGGAACCATAAGGGGTGGAGTCATGATATAGTCAAGACCCACAAATAGGGGAAGGGCTTCCCAGGTGGCACTCGTGGTAAAGAACCAATCTGCCAGTGCAGGAGATGTAAGAGACTCGAGTTCGATCCCTGGGTCGGGCAAATTCCCCTGGAGAAAGAAACGGCAACCCACTCCAGTATTCTTGCCTGGAAAAATCCCATGGACAAAGGAGCCTGGTGGGCTACAGTCCATGGAGCTGCAGAGAGCTGGACACAGCTGAGCGACTGAGCATACAGACGGGGAATAATTAAACTGCAGAATTTCTGCCCAAGAAGTGAGGGGCCTGAGCCCCACAAGGGGCTCGCCAGCCTGGGCTTCCTGCACCAGGAGGTTGAGCCCCCAGAACACTTGGCTTTCAAGGCCAGTGAGGCTTACTTTGGGGACACCTCGAGGGCTGTGAGAAAGAGACTCCACTCCTAAAGGGCATGCACAAAATCTCACTCATTCTGTGGCCCAGGGCAGAAGCGGTGATTCAAGAGAAGCCTGAGCCAGACCCCCTGCTGATCTCATAGATCCTCCTGGAGGGAAGGAAGCAACCGCAGGTCACCCTGGGGACACAGACACTGCAGCAGCCTTTGGGGAGCCCCTTCTACCACATGGATGCAGGTGCTGCGTGAGCAATTCTGGAATGCTCTCTCTAGCTTCTGAGCTTAAAGACCTGGCCCTGCCCACGTCCACCAGGCTGTAGGAAGCAGCACTGGCCAAGCAGCTAACTGGTCAGGGGCACAGCCTCAGCCACCAGCAGACAGGCGGTCTTAAGACCCCCTGAGCCCACAGACACCCCTGGACGCAGCCCCACCCACCAGAGAGCCCAGGCCCTGGCCCCACATATCAGCGCATAGGCACTGGGCCTGGGATCCCCGTGGTCCAGCTGCCAGCCCCATGGAATCCAGCTCTGCTCACCAGCCGACAGGCACCAGCCGCAGAAGCCCTGGGCCCCCGCCTCAGCCTCCAGCAGGTGGACACCAGCTCCAGGACAGTCACAGCCCCACAGCATGCTGTGGCAGGAGCCATTCCACCCGCCAGCAGGCCAGCGGCAGCTCTGGGACCAGCTGGCCCTGGCCCTCACCACCAGTGGGCCAGCACCAGGCTCAGGACAGCCTGGACCAAGCCAGCTATGTCAGGAACTGGCCCCTCCCATAGCCCTGGGAGCTAACACTCCTGTAGGCGTCGGTACCCCTGTTCCCTGTAGCCAGCCCCTGGACCCAGCTATCCCTGTTGGTGGACCAGCGCTGACCCAGGGTCTGATTTCACCCACCAGTGGGCAGGCACCTGTCGCAGGAATGTTTGAACCCTGACTTCACCCACCAGTGAGCCAACAGTAGCCCCAGATCCCCTGGGTTTCTACAGCCAGCCACCTTGTGAGCCAGCCCCTCCTACCAGGGTGAACAGCTGCTATCAAGGCAGGGCCCAGCGACCAACCTGCCCGACCACCCGCAGTAGCCAGCAAACGGCAAGAGAAGGACCCATGCAGCCCACATAGACCTAGAGCTCTAGTGATGAGACAGGAGTGGTTTCAGGAAATAAGAAACATTTCCAATAAACAAATTAACCTTACATCTAAAGGAATTAGAAAAAGAAGA